GCTTCTTAGTAATCTCCATAGTACTTACCACAAACTGACACGTGTTTTTGTCTTGTGTCTCTTAAATGTAAGCTCATTGAGAGCCGAAACTCTGCCCCCTGCATTCAAACCCAAGCCTGTAGTCTCAAAGCATCATAGTGGAAAGAACAAGCAGTCACTTTGTGACTTACCTTAGAACAATAAGTCTCCCTAGGCATCTGTTAATAAGTACAGTGGATATAATTATAATTTTGCCTTCCATTACTGTTGTGATTTAAATGAGATACCACTTTTAATATACCTCATAGTGTTGGGCAGTTTTATGTGTTCAGTTAATGTTAGTTTCCAGTAAGAATGTTCTTAATTTCATGATTTCTTCATGAAAAGTAACTAGTGTTACTGTTATTATTTTGGCTCTGAGTTTTATAGGCTAGATCATTTCAGTGGCATTACACTGCTATCACTTCAGTTTTTCTTTGAATCATTTTAATTTATATAATTTCTTATAACCTGTGAATTTAACTTGATTCCATAGAAACTACTATTTAGGCCTTAAATTTCAATCAGATTTGCTTTGGACCCACAAAACCTTCCTAACTTCTCAGTGGAAGGAATTCTCTAGCCATCTCTTAGCAACTGGAGCTTTTTCTGTTAAGTATTCTCATTTTTACACCAAAGAGACTGTTCTAACTTTGCAACCACAGCATTGGCTTTCATTTAATCATAAGATCTTCACCCAGTTTTTGTCCGTTATGTAAATTTGAGGAGGCTTGACATTTGATGGTTATTGATAGTCACATTGGAGTTGTTCAGGTAGAAAATGGGTTGTCTCTTGCTCTTTTAAGAAGACTAAGAGAATTAAGTTGTTACGTGTTTGAGGTATCTTTTACTTACATTTGGGATGTTTGTGGGACAAGCAATGTGAAGAAAGGGATAGTCAGGAGATAAGGGGTAGGAGACCTGAGTTTGTCAGCATGGACAAAAAGGTGACATTCAGTGATGAAAGCCCTTTGAATTAAAGTTGGAGTGCATGTATTCAATGAACTGCACTGCTATTGAATATAGATTTGCTTTGCCTTTAGAATTAAACTGTTAGGAGCTTCTATGTTAATCTAAACACATCAGCAGAGATGTATTGGCTTTTCCTGTGATGCACAACATGATGAACTTAAGACAGTTTCTCTCAGGTTGTCATGGTCAAGAGATAAGGTGATGCTTAAACACTATAAATGAAATAAAACTTTCTGAGGAAGAGCTTATTCACAGGAAGCATAAAGTACTATGAACCTTCCAATTTGATATATATTTATTTGCAGTTGTTCTCCAGTGATGATGCGAGTGAAACTGCTAAAAGCTAGAGGTGTCTTTTCTGTTTCAGTTGTCTCTTGAGACTCTGCTTGGATTATCCTCGTTAATAACCTCTGAAGAAGTATAAATTTTGCGTAGCTCTAAAATTTGAATTTCATGCAGACCATTTAGTTAGTCAATAGTATTATTTTGAGCAAATGATAGAGAAGCTGAATTTAGAAATTAACCCCCACTTAGCTGCTTTACATAAAAATAGTTTCTTATTGATGGCTAGGGAATCTAATTAGTTTAATGTATATTAATTGATTTGATACGTCAAATGTTTTTTAGTTCTTCCTAAATGTCAACATTATTTCTTTTAACCTGTGAAGCACAGACTGATCTGGGAGTTTGAGCAAATCCTACAGGTTATTTAAGACTTCTTAGGTCATTTCTTCAAAAGATAACACTGACTGTATTCTGTTGTATTTGACAGTACTTACTAAAATAAAAGGAATATGAAAATACTGCTTTTGTATTTATGACCAATATCAGTGTAACATTTTAATTCTTACATTTAAGAAAATGTAAGATTTGCTTATTAGGTTTATAGATTCATAGCACCATTGAGAGGAAGGTATAGAGGTTTCCTAGAAACCCCTTTCCTGACCCTACACATAAAAGCTTTCCCCATCATTAACGTCCCCTACGAGTGGTACATTTCTTACGACTGAACCTACGTTAACATCTCACCATCACCTAGTTTACATAATGTATCCCATAGTTTACATTAAGGTTCACTCTTAGTGTACATTCTGTGGATTTGGACAAGTATATGTCATGTATTCACCATTATATTGATAGTATGTAGATTCTTTTAGCTCTTCCCCAAGTCCTCTACTCTGCCTGATCACTCCCTATTAACTTCTCCCAACTAGTTCTCTTTTTCTATTTCCTTTGACATGCCTTTTTTAGAATGTCGTATAGTGGAATTACATAGTATGTAGCCTTTTCATATTGGCTTCTTAGTAATCTGTATTTATGATTTCTTTTTAGCACTGAATAATATTCCATTGTCTTTATATAGTACAGTTTATTCACCCACCAGTAGATAATCTTGACTGCTTCCAAGTTTTAGCAATTACAGATGAAACTGCTATAAAACATCTGTGTGCAGGTTTGGGGGTGAAGGTGAGTTTTGAACTCATTTTTGGTAGTATGAGTGCTGGGTGGTTACAGTAAGAGTATATATAAGGTGTAAGTTTTACACTGTCTTCAGTGTGGCAGTACCATTTTGCATTCCCATCATCAATGAATAAGTGTTCTGTTGCTCTACATCCTTGCCATCATGTGGCGTTTTCAAATGTGTTCTGGATTTGGGCCATTTTGATAGTGTGTAGTGGTATCTCCATTATTTTAATTTGCAATTCCCTAATGACATATGGTGTTGGGCATCTTTTCATATGCTTATATGCCATTGTGTATCCTATTTAGTGAGATATCTGATCAGATTTTTTGCCCACTTTTTAATTGGGCTCATTTCTTGTTGAATTTTAAGCATTCTTTGTTATTCTTTGAATAACAGGCCTTTATCAGATATGCCTGATAAATAATTTGCAAGTATTTTCTCCTAGTCTGTGGCTTGTCTTCTCATCCTCTAGAATATTCTTTTTTAATTTTTTAATTGAGTTTTGGCTTGGGGACAACTAAGCTCCTCCTCACCACCTGCCACCCCCATTCTGCAGATTAATTATAATATAAAAGAACCTGGCCTTTTAGAAGTTCAGGTTTATATTCCTAACACCAAAAATTGATTTTAGATGTCAGTTTTTCCTCATTTTATTTAAATTCAGAGACTTGAAAATGTACCCTGGTTATGTTTTCTACTGTATACAGCCATTTATTAGCAATGTAAAGCTGTGGCAAGTGAGCCCTGAAGAACCTAAAAACATTATGCCATTGATTCATAAAACTTGTTTCCCTTTTTCGTTCCAAAAAGTAAACAAATAACTGACTTCATAAAAGACACTAAAAATGTTAGTATGAGATTCCCTGAAGAGCAATGTACCACTCATCAGAAATATATTTGGTGTTTACTTATTTTTTTCTCTTTAGACCCAGAATACTAAAAACTTAATGAGTTTTCCTCTTTTATAACTTGCTTCAGAAGGAAATTTTTTGTATGTTAAAATATGTCAATGTATTTTATAGCTGTTATTTGCATAAAGGGGGATAGGATGATTTAATCTTATCAGAAGAATATAAAATAATTTTAAGAATCAAGACTTATTTTAGCCTCTGCCATTGTTAAAGTTCTTTGTTTTCTAATTGGGTTTACAGATAGTATTTCCAGGCCTTGGTTATTATGTTAATTTGCTGACTCCTTTCATTGAAAAGGATTGGATTTCTAGCAAACAAGCCCTCAGTCTTTCCTAACCACTGTTTTCTTCTCTATTCCACAGAGTAGTAAATATTAAGGTTGGAGTGAGAGAAAACAGCTAGAATATAAAATAGAATATGTAACAGTTCATAAACAAGAAAGCCAGTTGAATTTAGGAGAAGGGAAACAAATCTGTTAAATGATTTGAGGTTTTGATTTTGTTGTTTGTCCCAGACTCTAGCTTTTTTTTAAATGAGAAATAACACTTGGATTGTGATTTTTTTTTGTCACAATCCAGAGTAGATAAAGTTTGATATAATAGACTTTTTTTTTAATGGCACATTGAAGAATTATTAAGATGGCAGCTTCTATTTTTCTTAGATGTTTTACAGAGTAATCAAACACATAAAATTAGAAAGTAATTCTTTATAGGCAAAGGTTTATTACTTGAGTTTTTTTTCAACTGGAGATTAATGCTACAGTATACTATGGCCTATTGCTGGAAAGTGCAAGTAAGTACCAGTATTACAATTGTATATTTTATTTTAGGAAAAACCAGACAAATGTTTTAAAGTGTAGTTTTAGTTCTTGATAATTTTATTACTCATTGTAACTAAATTTTGGAAGTTCTTAAACATTTGATTTCTGATTGGATTTTGTAATTAGAAAATAAATATTAGCATTTAAAAAATGACAAATGAATCAGGTGAACTAAACTTGAGTTTACTGACTGGAGATATGGGTTTGTGTGGTTTTCCACAGCAGTGTAAAGCTTAGGATATCAATATGTAGCCTTCTGTTTACATCATTACATTAATAAGACCATATCCTCCATTCTTTCCTTTTAAGGATTTTATGTGTTTGTTAAGAAATAGATTGAAGGTGTTTTTGCTGTTGTAATGATGATAATGCTTTCAGTGTAACAGAACAAAATATAACTGTGCAAAAGAGGTCGTACAGTTTAAGAATGAATGGCTATGCAGGTATAAGAAACTAGCAGGTCAGTAGCCCTTATACACTCATGTTTCCCTCTTCGCAGAACCCAAAATTCATGTGCTTCAGCTTGACAGAATCAAACTCACTAAATTACCGTAGATTGCTTTTTCTGTAGAAAATGGAATCTAGTCTTATAAGAGATCTTCAAGTCTGCATTTAAAAATTTTTTCTTTTTAATACACTTACTTTATGCCAAGTTATGTTTTCAAATGTGCTCTATATAACTGTGTAAAGCATTAGTCTTAATAAAATTTAATGCGAAAAACATCCTTAAGGTTTGAAAAATAAACTTCTCAGTTAGCATTATTTTATCTGAAGTGCTTTGTGTTCACAGGAAGAACAGGCAGCAAAACTGAAAGCTGAGAAGATCAGAGTTGCTCTAGAGAAAATTAAAGAGGCACAAGTAAAAAAGGTGATATTTGGGCTTTTTCCTGGTTTGGGATTTTTGTCAGTTTTACAGATTTATTAAATGTCTTGTTTAATGTAATGTATCTCTATAAAGAGGTAGATAGAGGAGTATTTCTTTCTAATCTATTTTGCATGGGTAAAATTCATTATAAGAGGAATAACTGGCTTTGAATTCTCATAAGAGAATAAATTCAAGCAATCTTATTACATGGTCTCACCTTTTGTTATATATTTTTAAAGGATATAAATTTATTGAGTAGGTTATTTGAGGTTTATTTATAGTATCTTTCTTGAATAATAAACTCATGTGTATTTTTAACTTATATTTAAGAACATTAAACCAAAAATTATGCAGTATTGAAAGAAGCGTCTAGAGTGCTGTTCCTTGGCTAGTGTCTCATCACATTTTTACCTGTTACAGCTGGTGATTAGAGTCCACATGTCTGACGATAGCTCTAAAACCATGATGGTGGATGAGAGGCAAACAGTGAGACAAGTGCTGGATAGCCTGATGGACAAATCCCACTGTGGTTACAGTGTAGACTGGTCACTGGTGGAGACCATCTCTGAGTTACAGATGGGTTAGTAATGCAGTTCTTGTACTTAACTTTTCCATTTCTATGTAATTATAACAGTTTCCATATTGATATGATACAGTTAGACATCTTTATATGTTTTTTCTGAAATGTTATTTGGCTTATATTATCTTTGAATACAAAATCATTGCCAGTTCATATTTTTTATGACTAGAACAAAAAGTATAAAGTAACGGTGCTTTTTTCCTTTCGACTAAGAAATGCGTAAATTAACATTTACTAAGACCATTTTATTTATTCACATCTGTAACAAAGTCTATACCAGCATTTGACTTTCAGGGGAAGCAAAACACATCTTATTTTTAACTATATGTACTAATTCGTAATTTCCCATGATTTAAATTTTTTTTAAAGATTTATTTATGCGTACAGAACTGGGGTACAGGCCAGAGGTATGGGGATGGTGAGAGGATTCACCAGAGACGGAGTGGGGAGCAGAACAGGCAGGTTGACAAAATATACTGCTGAGGGGAGCAGCGGGAGGGTCAGGAGAGGTCTGCTGTGCCATCTGGATCACCTCCAGGGCTGGTGGTGATCAAACTCATGCTGAAGTGGCTTTAGCTTCTTAGTGCTGTGCTTTAACCAACTGCACCACCAGGGAGGGCCCTGATTTTAAATTTTTATTTGGCACTTTCTATTTAAAAGTTCCTCAGAGACTTTTAAAAAGTTACTTTGGTAATATTAGCTAAATGGTTACAGAAGATTTGCAACAATCATTTAGACTTTTATTGAATCTAATCAATTTCGTTTTTAAAAATGTATAAGCAAGTAATGTGAATGTCAGATAAAATAGACTTTAGGCAAAATGCATTACTAGACATAAAGAGAAACACACACCTTCACCTTCTATTTTATTTATCTACTAATAGCATTAAAATATATCAAGCAAAAATTAACAGGACTACCAAGAGAAATTCACAAGTCAATCTTCATAGAACTTCTAACCTAAGAATCTTTAGTTACCAGTATACTCAAGCAAATGACAAAGGGTTTAATATAATAGATAACTGCTTAGAACACTATCTAATAATGGGGAGATAATTGTTCTTTTCAAGCAGAAATGAATACTTCCAAAAATTGATGTAACCAGGCCATAAGCACCAACATACAGATTATGTCTTTGAACCATATCTTCAGTATACAGGACATGTTCTTTGATTTTGAACTTGGAAATCAGAAAATACATTTATGTTTAAAATTAAGCAAGACCCATAGATAAAGAATGAATTCACCTTAGAAAAGTTTACAGTGCCAAGAAATGAATACTATGAAAGTACTTAATACCAGAATTTATGAAATGCAGCCTTTTTTAAGGCAGAAGGGAGAAAGGTTGAAGGCTATATAAACTAGTGTTTCAAGACAGAAGATCTAACTCACGTCCTAGTTCTTTCCTGTTTTGTCCTTACTGAGATCACTTTTAACACTAATAGATTATGTTTCCTTGTATGAAAAATGAGGGAAGATAAGAATTGCTTAGGGCCAAAGATGATAATATTATAAGGTTCTTTGTTCCTAATGTAAATTAGCATGTTTTCGTGTCTTTAATGCACCGCTGATGAATACTAATGAAACAATTGCTATTTCATTCTGAGACAGAACGAATCTTTGAAGACCATGAAAACTTGGTTGAAAATCTCCTTAATTGGACAAGAGATAGCCAAAATAAGCTTATATTTATGGAGCGTATAGAAAAATATGCACTTTTCAAAAATCCACAGGTGAGTGAATAATGTATAGCTATCAGGCTTTTTACATGTTTATGTTATCCTGTTACTGCTAAGTTAATAGCATTAAAAGACTAACAACTACCTGGTTGAAGCATTGTGACTGCAAACCCCATGGGAGCACCTGCTGCTGCTGAAGGCAAAGTCTACTGGGGCTCAGTGTGGCCTCAGACAGGTACCAGGCCGCAGGCCAGACAGGCTGACCTTGGGTAAGCAGGGAGTTACCAGGTTTCTCCTCTCCAGTCCAGCCTGGTATTGAACGCATCTTTTTCTTTGGTGAGTTTCTCATCCATCCAGCCATTTCTCCAGTTGGCACTATATTTTCATTTCTTTTTTAAGTTACTTTTTAAAAATCCAAATAACCTTGATCAGTCGTGTTTCACATTTTAATATTCTTTGATTTAGTTGGCATTTTTGCTTATCCCAAAATAAGATTTCCTTATATTCCAATATTTCGTAAAAAGCACAGGTGAGGGAAGACAACCTGATCATAAAGAAGAATAGCAGTGGTACAAGAAAGATACTGAATGGTTGTCCTTGAAATGGCTTAACCATGATCCATCATTTTTGGATGTTGTTATTGAAAGATACATATTTGGGAATGTCAGCAGACCTTTGTATGGGTGATGGTGGGGAAAAAATGGTTACTAGTCTAATATTTAGAACTCATGTATCTGGTTCAGTTAAACTCAGCATTAACAAAATTTGTCTCCCTGGTGGCACAAGGGGTTAAGATGCAGCACTGTGGAACTATCAACAGCCATGCAGAATGAGTTTGATCCCGGCCAGGGAGGTGACGCACATGGCGTAGCAGACCTCTCATGACCCTCCCACTGCTCCCCTCAGCAGTGTACTTTAGTCATTCTGCCTGTTCTGCTCCCCACTCTGGTGCATTCCTCTCACCCCCTACATCTCTGGCCTACACCCCTGCTCTTATATGCATAAATAATAAATCTGTAAAAGAAAAAAAAAGTCTGCTTAGGCACTTAATAGGTTTAGGTTATGTAAGTACAGCTTTCATTAATATACTAAAGGATATTTGCCAGCTGTTGCATGTAATATCACCTCAAGATTTGGAGGAGGGCTATGAGGTCTATGTGGAATAATTCAAGACAAATGGATAACACAAAGAGGAGGCCATTATTAAGCTTTTTAGTGATGAATTCCATGCAGTTTCTTTTCAAGGACATACAATACCTCACTCTGTACAGGCAGAAATTGACAGAGATTTGCTGTGTTTTCAGTTAAAATCATACATGTATCTGCACCTAGAGAATATTTGAATGGGATTATCCTTTAACCTTCAATTATTTATTTTTTCAGAATTATCTCCTGGGGAAAAAGGAAACTGTTGAGATGGCAGATAGAAACAAAGAAGTGCTGTTGGAGGTATGGATTCCTTCTCTTCACGTTAGATACTATAGTAGTTAGCACCTTCTGGAAGCATGTCAGTGCTCTGTATTTGTAATTACACTTGTAACTAGAGAAACCTGTGTTCCATCCATTGCTGGTTCAACGGTTTGAATGTTCGGCCACTGAAGAAACAAAAGTAAGTATTTAGTCAAGCAATTACTGAGAGGACTTCAGATCCCAGTATGGGTTTTTTTTTTTTTTTTTTTAAGATTTATTTATGTATGCATACAGAACTGGGGTACAGGCCAGAGGTGCAGGGGAGGAGAGAGGATTCACCAGAGACAGAGCGGGGAGCAGAAAAGGCAGACTGATGAAGTACACTGCTGAGGAGAGCAGCGGGCAGGTCAGGAGAGGTCTGCTGCGGCATGTGGTCTCCTCCGGGGCAGATGGGGATCAAACTCATGCTGAAGTGACTTTAGCTTCTTAGTGCTGTGCTTTAACCTGCTGTACCACCAGAGAGTGCGCCTCAGTGGGGTTTTAGGGGCTGATAGTGGGAGAGAAGGCTGGCCAGTGGAGAGTGTGAGTGTGCTTTGCTCAGCAGAGGAAAAACATCAAGCAGAGTTAGAATTAGCTGTTTATAAAGTACTTCAAGACTTAGTCTTAAATGACTCAAACAATATTTTCAATTATAATTATTATTTTAAATATCTCCTTATTTTGAGGAGTAATAATAACAATTTAAACCAAAAAAAATTGGTTTTTGCTAATGTCAGAGAACTAAAGTCCAGTAAGTTTGTATGTTTGAATCTTGAACACATTTAGGCATCTGTAGTGACAGTAGCGACAATTTCAAAAAATCCTTTAAGTGTGAACCTTTACACCTAAAACACACAGTAATACAGTGTTGTAAATCATCATTACTTCAATAAACAGAATTTTAAAAAAGAAAATTTTGAGTTTGTTTACATTTCTTTCAACTTAGTGTTAAGTATTAAAAAGTAAATGCCCTCTGTATAACAGTCATACAGTTTTAAAATTGTAACCAGGTCATTCAGTTAACATGTTGCTTTTAAGAAACATAAATGCTCCTATTCAGCATGAAAGCTAATCCAAATGTGTTAATTTGGAGAAAAAGTAATATGTTACCTCTTTACAAATGTAGCTCAGTTGACATTTCAACTTAATTCACAACACTGTTAGGTAAAAGTTTATGCCTGGGTTTTTTGCCCTATAAATATTTTAGAATTGTCATAGTAGTTTTGAAATAAATACATATTGTTTAGAAGAGAAGTTTCTAATTGAAGTAAAGTTAGCAGCATCAATGCTAAGCTTTTCTGGTTTAATTACAGTGTCTTGCATTTCACCAGGGTAAATAAACACAGCCTTGTCCTGAGAACCCAAGGACATGTCTTTCCTAATTATCATCTTCTTTTAGGAATGCTTTTGTGGAAGTTCTGTTACTGTGCCAGAAATTGAAGGAGTTCTTTGGTTGAAAGATGATGGCAAGAAGTCCTGGAAAAAGCGCTATTTTCTCTTGCGAGCATCTGGTATCTATTATGTCCCTAAAGGAAAAGCAAAGGTGTGTCTCTTTAGTTGACTTGTGAGCTTTTTCTTGCTGCTAACTGATTTTCATCTGTAGTGAGGGTGCTGACAAGGTGAAAGTAGGCTCTGATTTGTTTGCACTTGAGGGAGACACACTTTCCTTACTGATCTAAAGAAGAGAAAACCTGACAAGTCACTCTGGTCTTTAGCTGGGCTCATTTTGAAATCATGCTTGTATAATTTTTGAAACTTCTAGAATAATTTTTGCTTACGTTTGGAGAGCTTTCTGGAATTATAGGCACTTCAGCCTTCCTTGAGTAACATAAATCTGGTTTTTTGTTTTATTTATTTTTGTGTGAAGAACTGGGGTGCAGGCTGGAGATCTGGGGGGAGAAGGGTGAGAGGCTTCACCAGAGATGAGTGGGGAGCAGAACAGGCAGAACTACTGACGTACTCTGCTGAAGGGAGCAGCAGGCGAGACAGGAGAGGTCTGCTGCGCCACGTGGGTCACTCCCAGGCTGGGGATTGAACTCAGGCCATCATGGTCATAGAACTGAGGCTTAACCTCTATATAACCAGGGAGGCTGGTTGAGGGTTCCCTTGGTAGCTGTCATTTCTGAGCTTACTGGCTGCCAGCTCAGTTTTAAAGCCCTTTACAGTTTGATCTCATTTGCTCTTTACCACCATCTTGAGAAATATATGTTGTTGCCCCTATTTACTTGATGAGGAAACTGACTTGACACTTATGTTACAGGTACTAAACTATATATTTTTTTTATTCTTTACAGAAAGATTTGTTATACTGTATTGTATTTAATATACAATACTATATTTAGAGGCTTTTTCAAATGTTAGGCTTTCCAAGCATGTCAGTGTTCAGTGTGAATGACAATAAGTGAAATGGGCTGTCTGTTTTCATTGCATCACAGATTAAAGAAGAAACAGAATCTAACTGCATTGTCTTCTGCAAAATAGCAGTAATTTCTACTTTCTTAAGTTTTGATTTTCGGTTAAGGATATTTGCTTGTTTACACATTATTGTTAATTCAGTCTTCTGGGTGTTTTTTCTTAGGTCTCTCGGGACCTAGTGTGCTTTCTCCAACTGGATCATGTCAATGTTTATTATGGACAGGACTATCGGAACAAATACAAAGCACCTACAGACTATTGTCTGGTGCTAAAGGTAAACATGTGCCTCTTACTAGAGTTTTAATTGATGTTAGAGTGGGAGGGGAGCTTTAGACAGTGACAGCCATTCTTGGTAGACAAACTCTTGGGGAGGTGAAAGCTCTGGTGTACCCAGATGGGTACAGGAGCTGCTGCAGTGAATATGAAATAACACTGATCTCGGAGCCCTAGGACAGATGATGGCCCCAAGAGTCTGTCTGGGTTATAGTGTATGCAACAGCAAAGGACTGTTCCCCCACCCTTTTCTGCTGACCCAGATGGAAATCTGCAAACCACACAGCCCTGCAATACTGAGATCAGGATCTGCTAAGCAGGCTCTGGGCACAGAGAAGCTTGTCCTGACTGCAGAGAGAGAGGCAGTGGTGTAAGCTTCCCAGCCCTCATGTACTCTACCCACCCACGACTGTGAACACTTACTCAGCTGGGCTCCCACTCCTTCCCACCATCATGCTAAACAAGAAAACCAAATAAAAATGCAGGCCACTGTGCCAGCTGTTGAAGAGGAGGGATAAAGGTCTGTGAAAGAAGGCACGACTCAGGCGGTGCAGTACAGAAAACTGTTGAGGCTATGACCCAAATCTTATGACACCAGATTGGAGGCGCCAACAGAGTTCAGAAGAGTAATCATGAAACTATTCTACAAAGTTTGAGATGATCAAACATAGGCAAGTTCAGATGCCAAAAGAGATACCTGGGAGCAAAAGGAACTCACCAAAGAAATAGAAATTGAAGCTATTTTTAAAAATGAATAAAATAGAAATGATGTATTGAAGAATATGATGTAGGAACTGAAAAAAGCCACGAAGAACTTAGAAGATGGACTTTTAATGTTGCTGATGAAAAATTCTAGTCATAGAAGATAAAAATGTTCAAATAAGTGGGAGAGGAGAAAGATTCAGGAAAAAAATGAAGAAATTATACAAGTCATCAGACTATGAGAAGAGGAAGCAGAAGGAGAGTGGGCATCCATACAAGCGAGGAGAGACGGGAGCACAAATCTAATTCAAAGAAATAATGGCTGAGAAGGTTCCAAGTCTAAGAAAAGAACTAATGACAGTGTCCAAAACAGAACACCCAAATTTCTAAATGCAAAATGACCTACCTAGATACAGCATTTAATTATCACAGGGAAAAGATAATATGAAGAGTTGCTAGAAAACAAAAGCATGTAAGATACAGCTTGAACAGCAGCATGCAAAAAATGAAACTGGCTCATTACCTCTGTACACAAAACTTAATTCAAAATGGATGAAAGATGGATATAAGGTTTGAAACCTTAAAATACATAAAAGGAAACATCGGTGATAATAATACACAATCCCAGACATAAACCGCAGAGATATATTTGGAGCTGTAACTCCACTAGCAAGGAAAAAGGACAAAAATAAATAGGACTTACATCACTTTTTAAAAAAAAATAATATAATAGTTTACTTTTACATCATTTTGTGCATTTTCCCATCTCCGTTGTAATCCCCGGGGGCTTCCCATCACCAAATCACCCATATGCCATCACCATAGTCCAGTGCACTTCCCTCCCCAACCGTTTTTGATCCCATTCCCCACTCCACACCCATAATATGTCTCTGGTATATGGCTGTTCATTATTATTTTCTCACCTGGTCCGTTATACTCCTCTGAGTGAGACCACCTGGTGTTTTTCCTTTTCTTTCTGGCTTATCTCATTAAGCATGATCTTTTCCAGCTCCATCCATGTTGCTGCAAAAGGCATGTGTTTATTTTTTATTTCAGTTGCTGAGTATTCCATTGTGTATATGTACCACATCTTTTTTTTCAATAATATAGTAGTTTATTTTTACATCATTTTGTACATTTTTTTTTTCATCTCAATTGTAATCTCCGTGGGTTTCCCATCACCGAGTCACCCGTGTGCCATCACCATAGTCCCGTGAACTTCCCAGCCCCCCCCCCATTTTTGATCCCATTCCCCACTCCACCCCACAAAATGTCTTTGTATACCACATCTTTTTAATCCAGCCATCCACTTTTGGGCATTTGGGCTGTTTCCATGTCTTTCCAGTTGTAAATAAAATAGCAGTAAACATGGGGGTGCAGGTGTCTTTTCGAATCAGTGTTTTTGTGTCTTGGATAGATACCTAGGAGTGGGATTGCTGGGTTGTAGGGAAGCTCCATGTTTAGCAGTTTGAGGAACCTCCAGTTTTCCATAGTGGTTATACTAGTTTGTGTTCCCACCAGCAGTGCAGGGGAGTTCCTTTTTCTCTACCTCCTCACCAACATTTGTTGTTGCTAGTTGTTTTAAGATGTGCCATTCTCACTAGGGTGAGGTGGTATCTCATTGTGGTTTTAATTTGCTTCTCCCTTATTACAAGTGATGTTGAACATTTTTTCATATGCTTGTTGGCCATCCGCATTTCCTCTTTGGAGAAGTGTCTTTTTAGCTCTTCTGCCCATTTTTTGATGGAGTTGTTTATTTTTGTTGAGTTTCATCAGTTCTTTGTATATCTTTGTGGTCAATCCTTTATCACTAGTTTTGTGTGAGAAAATTTTTTCCCAGTCAGTGGGATGTCTGTTTTTTGTAATGTCTCTTTTGCTATATATAAGCTCTTCAACTTGATGGGGGCTACATCACTTTTGTACTACAAAAGAAACCACCACAAAAACAACAAGCAGCCTCTGGACTGGGAGGAGACATTTGCACATCACACATAATTTCCAAAAAATAAACAGTGCTCATACAACTCAGTAGCAACAACAATTGGGCAGAAGGCCTAACTAGATACTTTTCCACAGTAGGTGTAATACAGGCACATGAAACATCACTCAACATCACTTAGTATAAAGGAAGTGCAAGTTAGAATCACGATGAGCTGTCACCCCACACCTGTGAGAAAGACCACTGTAAAGAAAGACAGGAAACAAAAAATGTTGGCAAGGATGTGGTGAAAAGGAGCACTCATCCACTGTTAGTCGGAATGTGATTCGATGCAGCCTCTGAAAAATATGGAAATTCCTTAAATAAAAAAACAAAAAATGGAAATCCTTATGACCCAGCAGTAACACTGGTTAAGTATTTATACCCAATGAGTATGTTACGAAGGGATTTGTGCACACCTGTGTTTATAGCAGCAGCATTTACAAAAGACGAGCCTAAACACCCAGCTGGATAGAGAAATTGTGGCTTACATGCTCCATACTCAGTTATTTGAAAAGATGAAATAGTGCCTTTTAGAACAAAATGGATGGGTCTTGAGGTTATTATACTAAGTGAAATAAGTCAGAAAATGAAAGATAATGGGATGGTTACATTAATTCATGGAATGTAATTAACCATACTGGGAAAGTGCAGTAAAGATAGTTCTACATTCTGAAGAATAGGCTTTATAGACTGCTTCCCAAAGGAGCGTGGGCCCTAGAGAAGGTTGGGGGCAAGGAGGTGACAGGACACTAGCCCTGTGGCTTCAGAGAGCACTTGTGAAGGCGCACTCCCAAAATTAGTCATGTAATCATTCGGCAACTCAATGTAATTGGGGGGGGGGGCCTAAAATCAGTAAAAAAAATAAGTTTGAGAATACTATTTTTTAATGATATAATAGTTAATTTTTACATCATTTTGTTCATTTCCACATCTCAGTTGTATGAGAATATTATTTTTTTTTTTTAAATGAGGCCCAAGTGCCTAATTTTTTTTTTTTAATTTATTTATTTGTGCATACAGAACTGGGGTACAGGCCAGAGGCTCCAGGCAGAAAGAGGCTTCACCAGAGACAGAGTGGGGAACAGAAAAGGCAGATCGACGAAGTACGCTGCTGAGGGGAGCAGCGGGCGAGGAGAGGTCTGCCACACCATGTGGTCACCTCCAGGGCAGACGGGAATCGAACTCATGTGGTAGCGGCTTTAGATTCTCAGTGCTGTGCTTTAACCCGCTGCGCCACCAGGGAGGGCCGAGAATATTATTTTTAAAGGTGGGACAGAACATGCTTTGTTTGAGCTTCCCTGCACTGCTTTAGCCACATCAGAGGGCACTGTGTCCACGTTGAAAGGACAAGTTTTCATCTGCTCCAGAAATAATTTTTGTGTTTTTTCCTAAACCATAATCCTGATAACCCATGAGCATATTATGAGTTGTCTAAGCTGTTTTTAAGTGAAGTTTTTTAAATGCTGTATTCAAACTCTGAGCTGCTCACAGTGATTGTACCTGTTTTTGTGAGCAGGTATTTGTTGCAACTTTTTACCTAGCTACACTTAAAAATTTTTTAATTTAAAAATTCAAGATATTGATTGGTATAATTTTTTTTTCTCATTGATTCCTTCTTCATAGTCCCTTGCTAACTACTCATGGTTATGTGATCATTTGATTTTGCTTTCTCTAGGAATCGTCAATGTGGGGAGGAGGGAGGTATTTAAGATGTTGTTCTTGTAGTGAACATTAAATATTTCTCCAAATAAAATACAATTATGGATTTTTTTCCCCACTCAGAATAACTGGAAAGAGAAGTAGTATATCCAGAGCCAAGTATGAACTAGAGGTTTCTTCCTAGGGCACAAGTGGTTATGACCTAGAAGAGTTGAAATACAGTTGTTCAACCAGTCCCCACTTTGCGGTCAGTTCAAGTCAATCCTCACCCGAGCCTCAGCTTTGAAGTACATTGGGTTGTAAAACCTAATCTCTTCTTGCAGAAAAGCTGTCGGTTCCCTGGAGGACCCACTGCCAGTAGAGGCACCTGAGAGGCGCCCAGTCCCACCGTTGCCCACCGCCTGGGGCTGTGCCCACTGCTCAGCCTGGTGGCGTCACTGAAGGCTGCCATTGGAAGTCTTCCGAACCCTTCAGTCTGTTTGAATGAAAACCTAATACTCTCTTCCCTTTCCGTAGTCTTAGAGATTAAGAATCCTACTCACTTTGTTAACTTTGATGGACTTTGTTTCTTTGAAATGTGGAAGGATATTTGCAGATTTCCCATGATGTGCAGAATTAAATATTTCTGTTTAATTTGGACATCTTGACCTAAAATTAAATATAAGCTCCTTTCTTGTTTCTATTGTACAAATACTCAGGGACCATTTAGTCTAGTCTTATGGACATAGAACAGATATAAATTAGTTTTGATCATTAACTGATGGCCCATAACTAACTTGTCCAGATATGGCTAAGCTTTGATAGAGGTGGGTTTTTCTGTTCTCCAGGGTGCTTAGCTATTTCTTGCCTTTAATCTTGCAGCACCCACAGATCCAGAAGAAATCTCAGTACATCAAGTACCTTTGTTGTGATGATGTGAGGACCCTGCACCAGTGGATTAATGGTATCCGCATTGCAAAGGTAGATTTTCTTTTGATGTGATGAGGTACCTAATGATAAGGCTTTACTTGTGACAGTTATTCTGATTCCTTCATGTTCATGATTTTGCCAAGGTCCAGTTATGCAGGCCTAACATTCTTTTTTTTTTTTAATTTTTGTTTTTTAAAGATTTATTTATTCATATAGAACTGGGGTTATAGGCCAGAGATGCGGAGGGTGAGAGGATTCACCAGAGACAGAGTGGGGAGCAGAACAGGCAGATCGATGAAGTACACTGCTGAGGGAAGTAGTGGGCGGGTCAGGAGAAGTCTGCCTCGCCATGTGGATCTCCTCCGGGACAGGCGGGAATCGAACTCATGCGGAAGTGGCTTAAGCTTCTTAGTGCTGTGCTTTAACCTGCTGCGCCACCAGGGAGGGCCCCTAACATTCATATTTTAAGTCTTTTTTTTCTCCTTGGTGATGAGGGTAATTATAAGTTTACTTCTATGAAATAATACTGTTGTTGAAAATAGTACTTTATCAAAGCAATTCATTTTTGTTTTGGAGAATGCAAAATATATATGTGACATATGGCAGAGGTTAGCCTTAGCAAAGGAAAAATTTTGTAAGCTAAATTGCTTTGGATAAGGGAGGGATAAATGGGTGGCATAACAGAGGCATTTTTTGCACTGACAACATTTATAATCTGTATGATAACATAATGGTCAATACATATCATACATTTGTCTACACCCATTGATTGTGGGTCGGTCGCCAGGAGTGAACCTAAGGTAGATGTTTGGCTTTGAGTGAATGCAACAAATGCACCACTCTGGTGGGGAGTGTTGATAATGGGAGAGGTTGTGCATGTGCAGGGCTTGGGGATTATGGGAACTCTGTACCATGTTCTCAATTTTGCTGTGCATTTGAAATAAGAACCTGAAATTTTTTTTAAAAGGGAAACTTAAAGATGAATATATATAATAATTGAAGGAATATTTATGCCTTCTAAATAACTGAAAGTAAAATCTTATAGCTATAAAATCCAATTTGCTTTAGAAATAACTGAAAAAATATCTCTGTAGATAGGAAGGAACAGTGTTAACTACCTGCTACCTTTGTAAAAATGAGGAAAAATAAGAATACATTATAACTTACTGGTATTGAGAGTTTTTGAAATATTACCATTTTTAATATGAACTATGAGTCAGTAAACAGAAATGTGTCCCCCTTTCTTACCTCATCCATCTATACATACCCAGTAAAGTTCAGATGTCACTGCCTTCTGTTTAGTATGGGAAACAGCTCTACGTGAACTATCAAGAAGCCTTGAAGAGGACAGAATCAGCTTATGATTGGACTTCCTTATCCAGCTCCAGCATTAAATCAGGATCCAGTTCTTCCAGCATCCCAGGTAGTTTAAAATACCCAGAACACTATTTTGTATAAAAACTGCAGCTGTATCTGATTTCTAAATTAGTTAGTGGATATATTTTGTGCTTTTTTTAAAGTTGCTGATAGATGGAGCAGTAGCAGCCAGGCCTAGTTTACTAGTATATTTGAAACAGGAAACTGGTAGATATAGTTTAAAGTCAGGAGTTTTGGTATATAGTTTATTTAAAACTCAAGTATTGATACATTAATTGAGGATAGAAAGTTGGATACTCTATATTCAGAATCCATCTTGAAACCTCAGATTTCCTGACATTTCAGTAGAGTGAAAAATAACTAGAACCGGTTCAATATCATAGTCATCAGACTTTTTAAAATTTCAAAGGAAATCAGTGATACAGAAGAGGTGCTTATCTTCATTTCCCATAGCCCTTAAGCAAAGTCTGCTTGATCACATACTAAATGTTTCTTTCCCGTCAATCTGTTCCATAAATGAGAGTTGTGTGATATGAAAGCAGGTTTTTTTTTTTTAACATCACACGAAAAAATAATTAAAAGCTGTTTAATAAAAAGTTGTCACTTGATTTAATCTCTAAGTGAAAGCAAATTCAGAGTATATAGATATATGGGTTACTGTACATATATGTGTATGTGTGTCTATATATGTAATGTTTTGAAAGAATGAGAATATTCAATACCTGAACTTGGTTTCTAATACCATTCTTCCTCTTTCCCACCCTACCCCACCCCACCCCCAACCAAAAAAAAAAAAAGGCTCTTTGGGAAATGGCTAATTCAAAGGCTATGGCATAGAATTTATCAGATGAGCCTAGAGCATCTTGATGCAAGGGATGAAGGAAATGCTCATAGAAACACAACAGTGGAAGTATTCAAACAGAGACAGGAACCAACCTGAGACCAGTGTCCATAGCTATTACAATCTAAGCAACAAATCAAAATACTATAGGATTATAAATCAAATTGTAAGAGAAATATAATTATATTGGTCCATACAGATACAAATAAATTCTCGAATGGAGAAGTGACAACCTCCCTATACAGAAGATTTCTCAATGATTGATGTGGCCACTACCCTCAAGGAGGTAGAACTAACCTTCTTCCTCCTTTCCTTAAGTGTAGACTGCAGAGTGATTTCCTTCCAAGAAATACAGGGGGTGTGGAGGGCAGGTAACTTCACATGAAGAAATCTGACAACACCTCAGCCAAGTGATCAAGGTCAAAATCAGTAGCCCTTGATACAAGGAGGTGAGCATTTCCTTTTAGGTCTTCTGCAAACCCTATATGCGCAGTCTAATCAAGAGGAAAACACCATACATTCAAAATTCTCACAAGGAATTCTTAAACTCATAATAGACATGACTAACTGTAGTGTGGGGCCCTCGATCAGAGGAAGGAAAAGCTGTTGCAATCTGAATAAATGTAATGTGTCAACATCAACTCCTTAGTTGTGAGAAAGGGCAGCATAGTAATGTAACTTTAATAATGAAGGAAAGTAAGTGTCCCATATAGAGGAACTGTTCTAACATTACAATGTGGTTGTTAATCTACCAAGCAAACAAAAAACATTCTTTCATTAAAATGGGGGTGGGGGGGAGAACCCTTCAAGACTATGATTAGGGAAGGCAGGGTAAGAATGTGTTGCAAGTAGGATTTTAGAAAAAGAAATGAGGGTCAAAATTAAAAGAAGATGCTTGGCTTTTATTTGTACAAGTTTATGGAGATTATTTCATGAAGCGGTATGGTGCCTTCCCCACTCTGGCATTTTCTGAGTTCGCATTGCCACTGTGGCTTTCTTTTCAGGTAAGTTATAAAATCATATCCACTCACACTCAAGAGAGCACAAAGATTTGCGGTGCTAGCCGCTGACCTAGATATTAATTAAATAGGGATGATATATATGAGGTTAGCAAAGTTGTAACTTTTAAGAAATAAAAAACTACACAACTAAATGAAAGACAGAGCAAGAAAGACAGTGTGGGTTTATCTTACACTGCTCATACTGTTTGCCTTGAGAATATCGTGCTAGCTTTATAGCGGAGTTCTGTGACTTGGCACCACTTTGGGTAACTTGACTTACAGCCTCACAATATCCAGTTGTCACTGTGTGATCGGATGTGACTCGCTTTGACATTTGCATCTTCACCTGTGATGCAGGAGTTGGGTTAGGTGCTACCCACTTTTATTTTACCTGCCTTGGGAGTGTAGTGGTCTTCCAGTTCTTCCCTCCCTCCGCCGGATGTCAGAGCTTGCTGTATCCACAGTCCTCCCAGGCCCCTTGAAGATGATTTTGTTCCTGTCCAAGAGCCAGGCAACAGCATGTTTGCTGCCTTGTGATGACAGCACATGAGTACTTAGGAAAACTACTGCTCACTTGGGGATCAGATTCTATATAACTTAATTGCTGGGGAACAGGAAGTTACCATTATATGAACACCTGAATTCATAAGTGAGAACTGTGTCATAGTTTGAAGCCAGGAACATGCTGAAAAGATTGATCCACTATGTAATGAAGACAGATTTGGGGGGTCGAGGGGGAGGAAGGAGTCACTCTTCTTTTGGAGGTTCATTACTTCTCCTTATTAGGAGTTTATTTCTTACAACACAGATTGTCAGGACACCAGTAACATTAATGAAATGGCCCTTTTGCTATAGTTGCCATTCTCATAGTGAATTACTTAAAGGCATCAATATTTCCTTTTTTGCCTTAAAGTAAGTTTTCTAGTGGAAAATACTGGCTGTGTTTATGTGAAATGAGTAAAATTTACTTGTTGCATCTGGTTTTGTGTAAAACACTGTCTAAGTTATTTATGCTGCCAGAATATTTATTTACTCCTATTTTTTTGAAATGATTCTTTACACAGAGTCTCAGTCCAATCATTCTAATCAGTCTGATAGTGGAGTTTCTGACACCCAGCCAGCAGGACATGTCCGCTCTCAGAGTGTCGTCAGCTCGATCTTCTCCGAAGCTTGGAGACGAGGCACTCAGTTGGAAGAGTCCAGCAAGGTAGCACACTTGTATTAATGTACATTGAAAAATCAGTGGCATTTCATAGATTTCCTTGGTTGCCCTTTTACTCCTTTATTAGGACTCTTTCTTGGACCTATTTTCAACTTTTTGGGTTCGCTTCCACTCAGAAATGATTATTTCGTGAGTTGGTTCTAATGGCTCTGGCCTTTTAATGCCTTTTATCAGTGACTGTAGATTTTGAGAGAGAACAGAGTCCTCCTTTTCCACTCTTAATTAACTTGGAGGAAGCAACACCATCTAGTGCCAGTGCCCTAAATTTATTCCAGAAAAGCTGCTTACGGTTGTTTTATTCATTGTTGTTTTACTCATCCCTTTATCTTTCTTGTATGCTTTATGACATTGCTCTGTGGTTGGTACCTTTTCTCAAATTATTATTTATGTGGAAGATTAAGTTCCAATTAATAACTTTAAAAATTCTGGGCCTGAGCCCATTCTGTAACCACTAAGAACGAGTAGTTATATGACTCTCTCTATATAGAAAAATAAGTTCCTCAGTGTAGTTGGAAGATACTGGAGCGCACTGCCTCGGCTGTTATGCAGGCAAGGGTGTGTGTCCCAGGTATATTCCCCCTCTGCATGGGAAGGTCTCAGTGGCCTTTCTGAGGAGGCTGGCCTGGCCACTTTGCTTTCACCCCATATTCTTTTGGTCTGAGTCATTTAAATTGGAACACTCACCAATGAGAACTAATGGCTATTTCCCTCATGTTTATTCCATTATTTGTCTATGTTGAAGGTACTAATAGCCAACTGGGGATAAAGCACTTTCTCTTAGAAGGAAATACTTAAGAATTGGCCCTAAGGACCTAAATTTTCAGAACCCAACATTTTAATACCCTTATCGAAGGCTCAGACTTTTATGAGATAATTCACTTTTCCTTGCCCCTCTCCAATCGATGTGGACGGAATAGCCCTTCCTGGTGCCAGTAACTTCTGTATATATTGTAGAAAGCAGGTTTTCACAATTCAGGTATCCAAAGAAAAGTCCTTTACCTTGTTAAATTGTTAATGTTGTTATCCATGTGCACTTAAAATTATAAACTGCCCAAACGTTAGGAGAAAGGCTAAGGAAAGCAGAGGCCTACCTGCTCCACGGCCCGACTGTGGTTTCGGAGAGCGCGTCCCTGCCAAGCACCTGGGCCTTGTGTGAGTCGTGACCCCTGTGTGTTTCTTCTCCTGTTATCTCAGTCTCAGGAGCCACATGAGAAGGCCCGCACAGCTAAGGTCTACACCCCTGCAGCAGCCAAGACAGGGTCAAGTTAAGGTTGGGGGCTGTTCTTTGGAAACACATTAACCTGGGTGACTCATAGCCATATTTTGCAAACTAATGCCATACGTTGGTGTGCCATTTTTAAAGAAATGTGAGTGTCTTGATGAGCAGTAAAGCTCAGTCCTGTGATGAGCCCTGTAGTCTACTAACTGTAGCATTTCACTGCGGACGAGATGTCACTCCTAAATGGGAAACGGCTGTTTATCTGGGTCCACCGCTTGTTCAAAGAGCCTAAAAGATGTGCCCAACATTATTAAACCAAGGGTCCTTTTATTGCTCTTTTCAAAAGTGCTTAACATACATGCATGAGTGTCTCCATGAAATCAGTGACCATCTGTGGCAGTTACGTGCAGTATGAGGTGTCCAGATGGGCACAGCAGCAGTTTGTTTAAAGCTCTGGCTCCCATCTCTTGATACATTTATTTACTCTGGGCGTCCGCAAAGTTTTCTTTCATTTTCCTCTGGCATTTTCTGGTATTTTGTATGCTCTTTTGCTGTAATGTTCATGAAGCATTTCTTTATGTATTTTCCAGTAAAACAAATGTAAAGAATGCCCCCCCCTTTACCTGCATTGCTGGACTTCTCCTGTGCATGTTGGATGCAAGTGTCTCACATGAACACGAGTGTGTGTGTCAAGCTCATTCATTGCTGTGTAACTGCACGCACGCCTGCTCAACATTCTCATACTCTCACGTGTCCGCTTGCTAGCATCAGAAAGACATCCTCACTCCTCGGGCGCCCTCCAGCAGCTCTCCTAGCCCAGTAAAGGCACCTGCTGATGTGGGTGCCGTCGTGGACTGAAAGGTGAATTCCAGTCATCACATCTCCCCTGCCAGAGTCCAGGGTGGGGCGATGAAAGCCAGAGGGCAGACAGCTGACAGCCCACCGCCACTCATGGCTTTTGCAGCAAGAGCATTCCCCGGATGGTTAGGCAGCCTGGCTGTTTAAGAAGCTCGTTGGGTAATGTCCTCTCTGCCTTGTCCAGGGATCAGATTTGGCCTGCCTGATATTGTCTTTCTTTGTGATCACCAACTCTTGCATCCTTTTATGCATGTCCCTTTCAGATTTCTTGCTTTTTAGTTTTGCCCAGAGCTTACTTCTGTAATTGGTGTTATGTTTTTCTCTCCCCCTCCATGTTATACTCTCTTTAGGCCAGAACGGAATCTGTGAATCGACCCTACACTTCACTTATGCCCCCTCTGTCCCCACAACCTAAGATAGTCACTCCCTACACTGCCTCACAGCCTTCCCCACCACTGCCTCCCCCACCC